AACTCGATGGAGCGATTGCTCAATTGGACTGTTATCTTTTCATGTAGAGCCGGCTGGCTGTAGTGCTATCAGTTACTAGATGAATAATAAGCTACTGCACTTTCATTCGCTAACTGTGCAAGCATATCTTCAGTTAAAGGTCTATTGGTGATTAATTAGGTGGAGTTAATGAATTTTCGTATTAAATGACATTCATCATCATACAGTCACGTACTGAGTATCATTTATTCCGTCGTTGTTGTTGTTGTAATAATGAGATACTCAAAATTATTTTTAATTAATCGTCAAGTAAGTTTGTTTGCAAAATTTGCCTTTCTTATCGAATGGATAATACCAGTGAACATTGATTGAGCAAATAGTATGTGAATCTTTATTAAGGTGATGGGTGCTGTGTTTGCATTAGGTAGGCGATTGTTATCGGTCGATTGGGCCCAAGGTCTATGCACACAGTCGGGACTGGCCGTAGCAGCACTTTCGAATTTGGATAATCCAGATCGAACGGTTTGTCGGTCAGCAGCTGAATATCTGATATTATGTTTCGAGAAGGACAACATCTCCGATCACCTCAACATCAACAAAGCGATTATACCGAAATTGATATCGATTGTAAGAAAGAAGGAGAGGTGAGGGGAATTTTATCGTGTTTGAGTGATTGATTCCTTTCCTGAATGTGTTTTTTTTTTCTTTGCTTTGATTGGGCGTTCTGTTAGAACTGTTAGGAATATTTGAAGTTTTTAGCGTGGGAGTGATATATGCACTAGTGATAATAATCCATTGAGGACAATAACGATAATGATGAAAGTAGTAGTCGTCATAAAAATTGTGATAATAAGAGTAAAACGATGATTAAATAACCCAATGCAGATAGCAATAATTGTTGTGATAATAGTTATTAAGAAGTATGGAATGTTTCAGTCATTGGATGAGTCTACAAGCGAGATTAACGGATTTGTTAAAACTGGTTCATGATTGTTTGCCATCAGCAGAGAGAGAATCATTGATGCGCCGAACTTTGGAGGCATTTTTTGACGGGTCGGTCGGCATTATATGGCTTATTTTCTTTCTCGAATAAGTTTTTATACTTATAAATTTATAAAGCCGTCTTATAATTAGCATTTTTCTCGTTCGTAAATGAATAATCGCGTTGAATTGTTATTTTTGATCATTTTGCTTCATGGAAACTTTTGTTTGCATTCCAGTCTGCCTCCCGATTCGTCATTCGGTACAAACGATTGGGCAACAGCACTTATCAAAACGATCAACTTGGCGCTATCGGATCTAGAGAATGACGATGACAATGCCGGATGTGAAGAATTCGTCGAATATATTTGCTCCGAGGTTTTTGAAAATCAATTTTCGTTCAGATTATTTGTCTTTCAAGCTATTCTTTGATATTAAGCTGTTCTTTGTATCTCTTTAAAAACTTTGGGAGCTTTGAGATGTGATGATTGTGATTTTGTATTTGACAAAATTTGATGATTTTAGAATTTAGTAAAGCTTTGCGCTCTAAAGATCTCGTTTTGAAGGTTCAAAAAGCGTTGGATTGGTCAGTCAAATTCGACGATAAATTGACGATGCGGACGATCGCCACATTACCATTTTTGATTGTGAATGCTGATGAGACTCTCATAGCATCGAAGATGATGCAGCAGTGTCGTAGTTATATCTTTATGACATTGTTCAGTCGCGTAAGTTGTTTGATTTGATTTGTACTGATCAGATTTACTTTTCACATCCTTATTTATTTTTGGTAATGCGTTCTGTTGTTGTTGACTGTCAGTCGAGGTCACCAAAAGTGTTATTTTAAAGCTGATTTGTCTTTCAGTTACCGTCATCTGAAACAATAATCGAAGAGTTATTCAATTTATCATCATCATCACACCGTGACAACACATTAATGGACTTCGCGGAAATGATTCTGAGAAGTCCGTCAAGCAGTGACGCGCTCGTTGCGCATATCATTGGTCTGTATGATGACACACAACTGATTCAGATCAATGAATCTATGCCATTAGCGAAAACAATAGCCGATAAAATTGTTTGGCAAACAAGCCAATCGACAACTACTGCAAAAGCTCTTCTGAAGGCAGTCAATGCTACCCAAACACATTTTGAGGACTTTTTGAAGGTAATTTTGATATGACAAGACGAATTCTCATGCGAAGCTGTCTTCTATCGTAGACAAGTGATCCGAAATATAAACTGTGGTATTCATTGATAAATGTGAAACAAATTCTCAAATAATGAACTAAAATTAATGCGTTTTCAGAAATAGAAATTCCGGTGGAAATTCATAAATTAAATGAAGTTTTTCTCTTTTGTATTCTTGTGTTAAAATTGTATCTTGCGATCAATTTCGTCGATGATATACGAAAAATGTTTTGCTCTTTTTTTGTGATGAATTATTTTCAAGCTGTAAAAATGGTTTTTGTCTTTTGAATGCTGAAAACTGATCACATAAACGAAATTTCAGTTGGATGATGAGATGTGTTGCGCGTGTTTAGTTGAATCAATATCGGCGAATATTGAAGGTTATGCTGTGGATTCGTGGTTATCTCAGTTGACATCTTCGATTGTTTGGGAGAAAATGATTGATAAGGCGATTTCGAAAAATTTACAATCGTATGAATGCAATAGGTGGCAATTGGTGGTGAATGCTGTTGTAAGAATGACGAATCGTGAGGATGTTATTTCACGGGTTTGTTACTTTTTCATCATTTTGGTGGTAGTAACTGACTTCATCATACATCTTGTATTTATACCCATATGCAATGGTCGATCGATGATTTGTCAATATTTTATAGTTCTTCAGAAATTTGGTATTTGTTTAAGTTGACGATAATTTTTGGTGTTTTCTTTTTGAGAAGACTTGTAAACTTGTAAGGTATTGTTGATGATGATCGAATTAATATTTTTGTAGATCGTTGAAAACGAAGTTGCCCAAAGCGTGGAACCGTTCGTTGATCTTATGAACACATGCAGCAAAACAATGGTAATTCCAGATCGCAGTTTTGAATTTATTTGATCCGATCTGTAACGTGATCCTCGTTTTGTATTATTCATGCCTAGAAAAGATATCGTTGCGAAACGTTGAAATGTTTTATTAAAGATTGGTGATGAGTGCCGCACGAAGGTTGCAACAAAAGCGTTGGAGAATATCTTCGAATCGTCAAATGTTTCTGATGGTGAATTTTGATATTTTTAGTTTCATATTTTCAGTTTCGATTTCGTTTTGATTGTTTCATTTGCATATTCATTTATTCATTTGACATCAATGGTGAGGAATGATTTTTTAGAAGAAATTGAAAAAGTTGTTGGAGCGATATGTTCGACTGTTATTGCTGAAGATTTTATTGTTGATTATATTGATAGGAAATTGGACGAAGATAATTTGCGTGAAAATTGGTTAGTGATGCCGTTATATTGTTGTTGTCATTCTTATTCTTGTTATTGTTATTGTTATCATTACAACCTGATTTCATAAGGATGTAATCGGCAGTGTTTCTTAAATGAAAGATCATGTTTCGACAAATGTTATTTGTAGTGTTGATACGGCATTATGTTTATTGCGTTCGATGCCATCAAAGAGCACCGCGAATCGGATTCTCCTCTCGTCTGAACGACTAACAAGCCAACTCTCAAATCTCAGAAATGTTGGTTACATTTGGAACTTCTGTCTAACATTTGCTTCAAAAAGTCTTTCTCGTTGTAAATTTCTCGTAACCTCAAATAAGATCCAAACGTTGTTTTTTCTCCGTCATGTATATTTCGGAAGCGCAATTCAGTCCATCATATTTTCCGACATTGCTTTTATCGTCCCATCGTCTTCAACTTATTTTTTGGGTATGTGAATTCGCATAGTTCCAAATCAGAAGAGTAGAAGATTCAACGGTCTAATTTTCATTAATTTGTTTCAGTATGATGTGGAAATCGTTGCACGGAATCCATTCTTAACTGCGTTGCTTCCGTCGATTCTAGATGAGTGTTCACATAGCGAATATGAGAAGTGTTCAGCTTCAAAAGAGCAAAAATTGCCATTGAAGTACATAAGACGTGCTCTGTTTCTGATGAGATATATCGAGAGCAGTGCTGCTGATCAAATATTCGATCAAACTGATACGAAATTTGCGTTGTCGCTTTTGTTCGCCGTTTCTGTTCAGTGTTTGGATGAGGTGGAGAAACGCCTCGAGAAACGATCTCTTTCATCGTACGAGGTAAAAGAGCAGTCCAGAAGGGAAGTCGCGCATGATCCATCAATAGAATTGAGTGAAAAAGTTACGCAAATAATATTGGTCAGTTATTGCTGAGTATTGTTATTTTTGTATTATTGTGATTTTTTGGAGTGTTTATTGTTTTTGAAATGTCACTGCTTGTATAATTTTTTTCTTCAGTATTTTTCATAGTATCGGTGTGGTCAGTACTGTTGTATCATTGAATCAATAAATTATGTTTAGGAATTAACCACAACTTTGAATTAGAAATTTATGTGATTCTGCTAATGTTCACTCAATGTTACTGGATGTGTTGGATATGAAGCGCAATCAAGCGTTGCCTTTCTTGTGCTCACTGGAATTAATTTGTTGCCATTGCAGTTGAACGAAAACGGTCGTCATATGTTACTGAAATGCTTCGTTGAATTTGCAATCGCTGAAAATCGAAGCAGCATTCCCCTGGCACTCATGTTAGCCGTTCGAAAACTTTGTGATGGTTTGGATTTGCGTTCAGTCAAAAAAGAATTACTTCTTCAGTACAATGACACCAAAGAGTTGAGCCAGAATCGGTTGTGCTCTATCGCTTGTTCAACGACACTTGTTGGTGAGTTGTGAATTTGTATAGTCCATGAAATTTTGATTGCTCTTTCGAATTTTAAATGGCAAATACATGAGCATTCGTGCTAATCGAGTTGATGCGATATGTAGAGTTTATTGATACGGAATGCTTGTCAGTTTCATTGTAATTGATTGGAAGAATTGTCTTATTGTTAGTTGAGCATTGTAGACGCGGTGGACACTTGTGAATGGAACGTTTTATCGGCAAATGACTGGTTGAGTCGTTGTGAGTTGCAGTGTTGCGCATCCGATGCAACCAACTCGCTTGTTCTATTGACTTGTTTCGTTTGCGAGGCTCGTACATCTTTCGAAAATTCTCTGTTCATCTTTCAGTGAGTACTCTTTTTTGTTCTGCAATTGTTCATGGGTCGTTCTTTGAAATATATTCTTTTTAAGTGAATGTTTCATATCAAAAATTTATCACCACTCCCCAGCACGTAAATTTTTTTGTTTTTCAGAGGAACAGAAAAGGAAGGAAATAACGAAATGAACGCACTGAATTGTGCACTGCTTCGAGTTTTGCGATGCAGTTGTGTTGCACTGGATGTTATGGAATCCGGATTGCGCGATTTTCTTCTATGTGCCCTTATAACCGCCCTCGAGGTTGCCACTTTGATCCCTGAACAATCGCCTTATGCTGACTGACTTGAACATATCTTTTTTGAGCATAATCTCCAGAATCTAAGGTGTTATTCATCAACGTTTTATGCCGTCAAAGAGTCTCGGTGTTATTGCTAGATTCCGGATAGCACTTGATTAGAAGACTCCAGATAGCGTTCGCAATCTTTATCAGACGAAAATAAAATTTCAGAGTTGTAAATTGGAATCAAAACGAGATGAGTATTCGCAACTGTTCGTCATATTTGCATCATTGACAAAACAGTTGTTTATTGAATGTGTACGAATTGCTGAATCAACTGTGGACGATACAAACTTCTCAGTGTTCAGACAGGTCAATCGATTTCTAGATAGTTGATTTTTAAGCTGGATATTCTAGTTGTGCGATTGATTGCTTATCATTGTCTAATTTTTAATTGTGAGTTTTGCCAGTAATTTAATTAATAGCAACAGTTGTGAGTTTCATTTCACTGGTCATTATGGTTTGTTGCCATTGTTTAGTTTCATCGAACTTGTTTCAGGAATGGGATGAATTTTATCGTAAACCAGCCGAAGCGATTTTAATAGAGTGGTTTGTGTCACTATGCGATCGAGAAACGTCGTCGATGCATCCGGCTCTGTTACGTGTACTCTCATCTTCGATGCATTTTTGTAAGGAGACAACGTTCCTGACAGTCGAATTACCGTCGCGATTCGACGTCGAATTGGATTGTAAAAAGTTGGTCGCAACATATATGTTATGCTTATTTTTGTCAGTGATCTAATGCGTACTCATTTTAAC